CTCTAAATGAATATTTAATATCAAGAAAAAGCAACACATGTCCACAGGCTGTTCACACCACAAACTTAACAGTAATTTGAAGGTATAGTTTGGTCCTAGTAACTTTTAAAATTCTATTTCTTCATCAGTTTAGGACATAATGATTGGTAATGTATGTATATATATATTTTTTTTAATTTAATATAACTACAAAGAGAATCTGTTATAAGGATGTTGGTTTTCAGGGATATTTTTCATTGTATGGGTTAATTTAACAATCCTTGGCAATAGATCACACAGTTGTTTTCAATTCCAAACTAATGATCTGATTACACAAACAACCTAGCAGAGCTCCTCAAATCAAAGATAAGTTGTTTTCCCATACCTAGAATTTACTGAAGACTAGTATCAAAACAATCAACTAGCATATGGTTTGTTAGTTTCCTTAAATCCCCAGATTTCCCATGGGGCACAGATACATAAAATAGGCTACCAGTTCCTTTGCCTTAGGAGAACAAACTTTTTTCTTTTGCAGTATTGGGGATTGAATCCAGGGTCAAATTTGTACTAGGTAAGCATTATACCACTTGAGCCACATTTTCCAGAATCCTTTGTGCTTTGTTTTTCAGCCTCATGAATTTTCCCAGGCCGGTCTCTTAACTATCAATCCTCCTACCTCTGCCTTCCAAGTAGGTGAGATTATAGATGTGTACCAACAGGCTTGGCTAACAACTTTTAAAGATAGAAAATTACTTCCTTTGCAACTATAAGCTTTAAGTAAGTGATAATTGGAGAAGCTTGTATTATTATTGGCAAAAAAAGTTATTTTCTTTTGAAATAGTTTCAGAAATACCTTGTGTAGTCTTCATATATTTTGTTACACAGTCCTGTTCTCATCTATGAAATCTTTCAGTTTTTAGAAATTATAGATGTTTAAACTTTTTACAAAAAATTCCATTTCTCTATTGACCTTTAAGATATAAACTTAGTGAACCAATATATTAATTAATAATAAATATTCTAGCTGATACAATAATCATGAACATAATTTCCAAGGAAGGAAATATGTGAGAGAAAAAAGAACACATGTAAAAAACAATTGACTTAAAACTGCTCTCCTTTATCTATAATGAAATCAAATAGAACGCTTCCCCAAAAACTTAAGGTGGGACAAACACTCCCACAACTCTAAGAGACACGTGATGAAAACTACAAGTGAATTAATTTTTCTGAATACAAAGAATCAATTTGTGAGCTGGGGTTCAAGTGGGTAGAGTGCCTGCCTAGTTCAAACCCCAGAACCGCCAAAACAGAACAAAACACAGAATCAACTCACTATTCATCTATAACAAACGAACTCTAGAAATAAAGCAAAGAAAGCTGGTGGTGTGGCTCAAGCAGTAGAGCGCCTGCTTTGCAAGCATGAATCCCTGACTTCAAACCCCAGTTACACCACAAAAAAAAGAATAAAAACACAGATGGAATAAGAAAAAGTTCATTTTTGGGCTTTGTTACTCACTCACTAGCTGTATTACTTCACACAAAGCATATACAGAAATCTTAGCATTCAAAAAGTTAAAATTAATACTCACTTAAAAATGGTTTAAACTATGTAATTCTGGGCTGGTAGAATGATTCAAGTGGTAGAGTCTACCTAGCAAGGATGAGGCCCTGAGTACAAACCCATATCCCTTCACTCCCCCAGAAAGTAATATGTAATTCTCCTGAAATGGGAATTTGAATCAACCTGTATTAAGCACGGTATGAAAATAAATTGCTTATATATTAGTGGCAATGACTAAACAAACTGCTAACAACTAAAAAAACAAATATTAAGGAATTCTTTATATAATGGAAAAAAAAAAGAATGATGCTGTAAGTAATTTCCTTATTCTCAGAAAACAAAGCTAATAAGCCCTTAAGTAAAGTTTACATTTATTTTGGGAGGGAAACTAGAAACATATATTTATTTTACCCATGTACTTACTTTTGGAGGCTTCTGTCATACTTTAACAGCTTTGGATTTATTACTTTCATAAACTGAATATTATGATTTATTTAACGGTAAATAAATCTTATCATATTTCAGTTTATCTGTTCAATTATTATGATTATCATTATAAAGAACAATCATATCATGATTTATCCATTTCAAGAAAAGTAAATTTTATTCACCTAAATTCATATGGCCTGGGTTTCCTCAATGAAGTCTCATACTTCAGTGCTAACAAATTTCATGTATTAATTAATTCTGCTTTATGTTAAAGAATTTTTTAAAGGGAGAGAGAGAGAAAGAGAGAGACAGTCACCCTTGCTAATGCAACAGCATGCCAGGCTCCAAATCTAAATCCTAAACTGATACAGGCTACTGACTACAGGCTCCAACGTCAAATATTCACAGATCAGATCAGATCAGATCCCGACTATGGTAGAAACTACATACTTACATGTTAGGACATGGAACAAAGGTGACTGATAAGATGGCGGTAGTAGCATCTTTTCTCAGAAGTCAAGCCTGTCTTCTCTGTGTTAAATCTCTAATCATTCTCTTTTTTAGTAAACAAAATGGCCTATTTTTCAACTGTGCTTTTGAAAACTATTTTTAATACATGTAACTTACTGCTTATTATTTTTTAATTGTACAACTCAAAATAAATATCCAGTTGTAAGCAGGCAACTGCCATTTAGTTCTTCTCTGAGATGACATTACTTGCTCAGTTTCTATGTATTAGTAGCAGCTTTATAAATGAATTCATTCTTCTCAATGAAAATAGTCTCTGAGGCCAGGTGCTGGTGGCTCACACCAGTAATCCTAGCTATTCAGGAAGGAGAGATCAGGAAGACTGAGGTTCAGCCCAGGCAAATAATTCAGGAGACCCTATCTTGAAACAATCCATCACAAAAAAGGGCTGGTAGAGTGGCTTAATACGTAGGCCCTGAGTTCAAATTCCAGTACCACAAAAAGAAAAGAGTCTATGAGAAGAAAATGTGAGTATTCAGGACATGACAGCCTATTTCAGCATTACTAGTTGATCCACTGTCCCAAAATATTCCACAATGGAATGGAGAATTGGTTAAGGAAAAGATAATGTTAGAAATCTCAGAGCACACAGTAGTTTTGCTAAAAGCTGGAGGTGGTTCGGGGGGAGAGTAGGAAAGAATAATTATTAGAAGGAATGAGTAAATAAAGAGAAATGTACAGGTCAAACCCTGGGAAATATGGAATACAGAACAGAAGGTAAGGAAATTCTGTAACAGCTTGAAAACATTTATATGGTAACTCAGAAGCATAAGCATACATCATTTTAAAAAATTAAAAAAGTTTTCATAGAAACCAAATATTTTTAAAGTGCCAGAAGTTTTAAAATCAACTAACCACCAAATTCAAACAAAAACAAACCCTCCTCTAAAGTCTTTCCAAAGGTATGCTTTTGTAACACAGTCAATTCTGACTTTAACTGCTTTAAAATTTTACATTTTATGCAACAGATTTTCATAAAATAAGGCGCAAATGCAGAATGTCATTGCTAGAAAGAGCAATTTAAAATGTGCTATTACATGTGACAATAATAACCCTATAAGCAAAGCTCTAAGTAATGTGTAGTATCTGTATAACTAAGTATATACTTAGCTACAGTATCAGTATAACTAAGTATATATTTAGTATCCCTTTATCACCAAAGGCTAGTTAGAAAATAGTTGGCAAATTTTTACATGGGCCATCAAGTATAGGTCTTTGAGTTCATTAACAAAGGAGTTTAGGTAGACATGCAAATACTTGTCACTTTCATTCTGCACTAAAAACCCCTCTTTCCTTAGTTCCCATTATATAACTCTGTTATTAGTTATTATAGAACTATTATTATAGTTTTACAAGTTCCATCTGCTATAGAAAGCAGACTGAAGTTACCACTATATCTCAAAAAGCAGGAAAAAATAGTAATTACAATAGAACAGAAGAACTTAAAAAAAGTCTAAAAAAACCATTTCAAGATTCATTGTTCATTGTTGAAGCTTTCTGAGCAGTGGCTAGGCAGATATGGCATAGTAAAGGACACTGATGCAAATTATAAATATTTATGTTTTTTTTTCTATTCTATGTAAATTGACAATAATGAAAATGAATTAACATATAATGTGATGGTTCTACCTTACCCTACCCCAGAGATATGACTTCATACATACTATCTCAATTAGTTCATCAACTCAATTTTTATCTATACTTTAGCCTATTAAAAAATTTAAGAGCTGATGGAGTGGCTCAAATGGTAGAGTGCCTGCCTAACAGGTGTGAGGCCCTGAGTTCAAACCTTAGTACCACCAATAAACAAAACAAAAGGAGTAATTAAATAACCTGACAAACAGAAAGCAGAATAAAAAACTGGGTCAAAGAAAAGGAATTTTTACACTTGTTAGTTAACTTCATTTTGAAGGGAAAAATCTACTCTTTTATTACTAGTTCTTAGAAACAGTCTGACCTATAAAAACAATGGACTGATTACAATTTCAGAGTTTACAACAATAACACAAGCAATAATTTCTTCTAAGTTATAGCACTTTATACTATTACTTATGGTTAAACTCTTAAAATTTTCTATGTACATATTTTAATCAAAACATCTGTGTATGTTAACACAAAGTTAAGACAAAGAAATAACTTTGCTATCGATTTATGACTGTTATTTCAATTTATTATGAAACGAATGCAAATAATATGGAATTTTACATTTCACCTTAAAACACTAGACACCAAAAGGTGTTAAATCTAAAGATCTGGCAGTCTGGCCAGGAATCACTTTACTAGAGCAACATGACATATCAGCATCTCAGTATCTTTAAATTGTCACAGATTAAGGAAAGTTATTTTAATATACTCAATATAAAATTAAACTTTGGTGCATCTCTTTTCGTGTGTGAAGTTCTACTTTCACCTAAGTTTTGGCTACTGACGTGAAAAGGCTTAAAACAACTCACCACAAACGCTAGTAACAAATTAAAAGTTCAGCATATGCTTCACATACCTTTTTGAGATGTCCTAATCTAAGTTTGAAAATTTCTTCCTGTTCATGATATTCTGCCAAAGTCAACCTGTCAAAAGTGAAATTTTAATTCTATATGAGATTAATACTTATTTGTTATTAACAACAAAATACAGTGAAACTGACCAAATGGAAATCTAAAATGCTGACAACTTTCAGCCCCAAATATATAAGCTAAAAATCTTTTTTTTTTTCAGAATACATTTAAATACTTATAAAAGGAACAATTAACTAATTCAACAACCATGGCAAAAGAGCCATTTCTTACATTCCTCTGCATCTCTCCCTGTTTGGAAGTACCTAACATAGAGTAGCTTTTTAGATATATCGTTGTTCACTTACATTAATGGAAAATATTAAAAGAAATCTTTGTATTCAGATAAAAGAAACAGGATTTCATTATATAGGCTAAGAGGAGCTAAGCTAGGGTAATGTTAACATCAATGGATTTTATTTTCATGATGTGTGTTAAAGACAATTAAAAAAAAATCTACCCTCTCAAGCAAGTCAGTTTGTTACTTAGAAAATCTTTTACTCACACATAATGCAAAGATATATTCCATCTCCTCTATAAATCATTTGTTATTAAGCTAAATCATTATTATCTTCCTGTGCAACTATACATACAGGTATACTTATTTAGGAGCTTCCACAAGTCAAATTTTCCTTTTAAAACTCAACTTTTAAACCTGAAACATAAGAATTATCTCTTCATAAGTTTCCATATTGAGTCTGAGTGAATGAGATACGTGTGCATGTATTGTCGGTACTGGGGCTTGAACCCTGGGCCTCACTTGCTATGCAATTTGCTCTACTAGTTGAGCCATGCCCCTAGCCCTACACTTTTTTTTGGGCAGTATTGGGGTTGAACTCAGGGACTTTCACTTGCCAGGCAGATGCCTCTACCACTGAGTCACTCTACTTGCTCACCACACACTGTTTTATCTTAAATGACAAAATTACTTCTACAAAAAAGCAAATTATTTGCTAAGTATAGTTCCATTTTCTTTTTAAATACTGAGAGCTAAATGCTTTAATCGCAACTTACAACTAGTTTCTAGAAAACTAGAAAAGACTTAAAGATTTTGAAATGGCCCTTGAAGAAAGCTGGGAGAGGTGGTGTGTACCTGCAGCTTCAGTTACTTGGGAGGGTGAGATAGAAGGATCTCGAGTCTAAGCTCAAGACCAGCCCAGACAACATAGCAAAAGAAAAAAGGGAAGAAATGAAAGTAATAAAAAAAGAAAGGAAGGGAAGGAGGGAGGGAAGAAAGAACTTTGAGAGGTAAGATTATCATCACCTACTCATTAATGAATTAAGAAAGATCAGCAGAATCTATGGTCACAACAGAATTCTGACATAAGAGAATGAAGTATCTATCACTCGCTAACAGAGAGAATAAAGAACAGGGGCCAGGAATATGCAGGGACTGAAATGGGAGGTAACAGAGTTTTAACCAAGTGGGAGTTTTTCAGGGGATGAGATTCAGAGCCCTCTTTCAACAGAGGAGAAAAGAATACATCTATATAAAATATAAAGGGACTATATGTTTTCTACACAAAATTTTATATAACAGAAAAATTAGCTAAGTTTGGATGCAACTATACAATGAAATTTCAACAGTGGTGTTCTCTGCAATAAGCATATAACTATCTTTTAAATGTCTTTGTCCTTTGAATTACAAAGAGTATTTTATTAACACAGAAAATTTAGAAAACAAAATGCAGAAAAGGAGTTGGGCATAGTGGTACAGTCTGAAATCCAAGGGGGAGGAATGAGTCAAGAGTATCTTGAATTCATGAGTGAGTTTAAGACCACCCTGGGCTATATAAACAGATCCTATCTCAAAAAACAGAACAAGAAGAAAAATACCTATAAACCCCCAACTAATTTGCTTTCATTTTCATGTTGAGAAAATAAATAAATATAATTTGGGGCATGGCTCAAGTGGTAGAGCACCTGCCCTGAGTTCAAATCCTAATCCTGCCCACAAAAGGAAAATGATATTAATTTGGGAAAATAAATAAATATTAGTTATATTACTTTAACTTAATACTCTCTCAAAAAAAAGGAAACAGTAACAAGAACGCTGAATTGGAATAATTTGCTGGATGCCAGTGGCTCACACCTGTAATCCTAGCTACTCAGGAGGCAGAGATCAGGAGGATTGTGGCCCAAAGCCAGCCCAAGCAAATAGTTCGAGAGACTGCCTCAAAAAAAAGCTAACACAAAAAAGGGATGGCAGAATGGCTAAAGGTGTAGGGTCGGAGTTCAAACCCCAGTAATGGGGGAAAAAAAAAAAAGAATTAAAATTTCAACTGATTCCTTAATAGATTCTAATACCGAAAAAAAAAAAAAAAAAAAGACAGAACTCATTCTCAATTTAAAAAGGTACAATTGAGGTATTTGGGGCTTATTAATTTTTAGTTTTTCAATGTAATTAACTTTCTGTTCAGAACTATTTTTGCTTTTTTTTTTTTTTGGTGGTACTAGGGCTTTCACTAGTACCATTTTTTTGTGATTGGTTTTCTTTGAGATAGGGTCTCTCAAACTATTTGCTGGGTCTGGCTTTGAACCACGATCCTCCTGATCTCTGCCCCCTGAGTAGCTAGGATTACAGGCGCGAGCCACTGGTGCCCAACCTATATTTGTTTTTTAAGTATAAATTTAATTATAAATAACTTCATTACTAATATTCATGCTTATGTGAAACAACTGAAGGAAGAAAAATTTTTAAATAGAGGCTTACAGTTGTGGTAAATTTGGTCTAACAAAGGGATCATTTTCTGCCCCATTGACAGCTTTGTTTTTTCTTTGTTTTGGTTCAGAATTGGTAGAAGGTGCCTGAGAGTTATTAGCTGTGGGAGGTTTGCGTTTGGCTAGAAGTTTCCTTTGTCTTTCAATATCTTCCCTTTGCTGATTCACCCATTCTTGTTGCCTGTGTTAAAATGAACAAATGAAACCATATTAGCCTTCCATTATCTTTCATAATTAAAATGAAAAGAATACATAGAAAACATGAAAAATAGCGTAACATAAATTTGTAACCTTGGGTCACACTCTTGTGAACTAACATGTACTCATTGTGCTCATCCTTCAGGTCTCATATGAAATAATCATTTTTAAGTGAGGAGTTCCACAAACCCCTGAACTAGGAAAAAGTGTATTGCCATATATAATCTCATTTTATGTTGTCCCCCTTCCCCCCACCTCCTTCTTTCAAACAAATTCCATTCCTATAGATACTTCATCAGAACACATTTGGTTAGCCTACATCACTCCATAAAAACAAAGACTGTATTTTATATCCTGCTGTATCCATAACAGGTAGCATAGTGATCAACACATACTAGGTACGCTCAATAAATATTTGACTGAAATAAATGGAAGAGCTTAAAAACAAAAACAGAGTTAAGTATGGTGTAGACATTATGCATATATTTTACTGCTTAGTATTTGTAGATATGCTTATGAAAGGAAAACATGAATTTAATATGAAGTGTTCATTTCTAAATGTATCTGTTAAAAAAATTTGAGACTATATTAGCTGGTATTTTTAAATGAAACAAAATTTAGAGAGAAAAAGCAACTCTGACAATTTAGGGAAAGTAAATAAGAAATAATAAGAGCTGATTGATTCTAAAAACAAATGTCTATTATAAAGTAATAAGTTGGCTGGGCATGGTTGGCACATGCCTGTAATCTCAGCACTCAGGAGAGGCTGGCTGAGGCAAGAGGATAATGAGTTTGAAGTCTGAATTGTACGAGACCCTGTTTCAAAAAAATAAAAGGAGTGAAAATTAAAACTAAAAAATACATAAGCTGGAGATTCTAACAGTTTGACCAGAACATTAAATAGGTTAACAGAGGAGCTTTTTGTTAAGCTATCCCATCATATGTTTTATGCTTATTCTAATAGTAACGATGTCCCTTTTAGGTCACCTGACCATGTCAGGAAAAAATTCTAAAGGCCCTATATGGTCACAACAATGCAATTTAGAGCAAATGTTTCCTACATCCCACCCCTTTCAAGCTAGAACTACAGAGGTTCCTAGTGTGTTGTTAGCAGAGTAAGATAGGAAAGAATCAATAAGAACCAAGGTAAAACAAAGGGTATCAAAAAATCACAATAACAAAGTAAAAACAAGACTTTAATCCAGCTTCCACTTTGAAGTAGGAATATGTAATTTTAATTAAAAAAAAGTAAATTTTAGCTAGGTGTGATGACTCCAGCCTGTAATCTTTATCTGCTCAGAAGGTGGAGATCTGGAGGATCACAGTTCAAGACCAGCATGGGCAAAAAATTCATGAGATCCCATCTCAATCAAGGGCTGAGTGCAGTGGTGTGTCTGTCATCTCAGCTATGTGGGGAAGCACAAATACAATTATGATCCAGGACGGCAGAGGCAAAAAGAGAGACCTTATCTCTAAAATAACCAACACCAAAAGGATTTGGGAAGTGGCTCAAGCAGTAGAGTGCCTGCTTAGCAAGTGGAAGACCCTGCCTGTGTTTAACCCCAGCACCACCAAAAAAAGGAGTAAATCTCAGGACAGGGGATGTAGCTCAGTGATAGAACATTTGCAGAGCATGTGTAAGGCCCAGGTTCGATCCCCAGCACTGCAAACCCAACAAAAAAACAACAAAAAAGTGAATTTTAAAGCTATTTTAGAGTACAATCAAAAGGTTACAAGAGCAAATAAAACAACCTAATTAAAATCTTAATGTGAAATTAAAATTACTGGAATGGATATAGAGGTAATACCTGATTATTCAGGGATCTCCATCTAGGTTAGAGATTATTAACATGATTAATTCTGATTTGCTCACTTCTCTTCTCAGCCTCCAACCACTTTGACTTATTCTACTGACTATAAACAGCATGATATAAAATATGTAAAACACTTAGTAAGTCCCCAGTAAACACTTATTAGTGACAGCTAAGGTGTGCAGGTAATTTTGTTCTTTTTTGACAGCTCAATGAAGAAATTTTAATTTAGACATATTTTAGGCCATGTGAATTCATTTTATAATCCTCTCTTTTATTCATTACAGGACAACTGCAGGTCTGGGTTTAGTAGCCAAGGTTCTTGCTCACAAAACACTTAAAAATCATGGTTTCTATCTCAAGTCTATTTCTTGATCTCTACTTTTCTTGTCAGTACTTTAGCTGAAGCATAATCACCTCTCAGCTGGATACCTCTCCATCTTAATTGTCAATAATTTATCTTCTTTCTAATATTATTTCCACATTACCATCAGAGTTATTTTCTAATTCAATACTGATCACATATATTACATATATACCTGGACCAGCTACCATTTCCCTCAGAATTAAAACCCAAACACTTTAGAATCACAAGGATACAGTCCTTCAACACCTAGCATGCTGTGTTGAACTAAAGTTCAGCCACTCTACTGAGAGAGGGAGCCATTATTTGGCAAGTCCTGAGAACCAGTGTTTGAAATAGCCATGTTCAAAACAGACTCTGCCTCCTTTTTGCTTCAGTACTGGGGTCTAAACTCAGGGCCTTCTATTATTTGAGCAATGTCTCTGACTCTTTTTGCTTTGGGTTATTTTTCAAATAGGGTCCTGTTTCCTGCCCGGTGCTGGCCTGGAACCTTCTACCTATGCGCCTCCCCTTGAAGCTGGCATTACAAGCATGTACCATCATGTGCTCTGCTTGGAGTCTTGCTAACGTTTGGCCTTAGGCAGTGATCCTTCTGCCTATCACTCCTGCATAGTTGGCATTACAGGTGTGTGCAACATGCTCTACCATTTTTTGTAACAGGACTAAATCCTGGAAAGGTAATGCTGATTCTGACACTCCTACTTTCCAGGTTTTATTATATTTTCTAGCAATCATCAATGGAGTAGCATAGGTACTGGCTCCTCAACATAAAACAGTCAACTTATCCTCACCTATCACCATTTGAACTCAAGAAAATCTGGTAACAACAATTTTTTAAGGTTTAGCTTTGAAATGCTAAAGCCACAAGTTCAATTCAACGGATTCTGAGTTATCCTAGCTGAGGCAAATGAGAAAGTTGTTTTCCTCAGGAATAGAGAACAAGCAGTGCTGTATATTAATATTTAAGACTAAAAAAGGTGGAAAGCTAGGTATGTTAGCATTGTGCCTATGATCCCAACACTCGAAAGGTTGAGACAGGAAGATACTCGAGCCCAAGAGTTTGAGAACAGCCTGGGAAACATAGCAAGACCTATCTCAGAAAGAAAAGGGAAGGGAAAGGGGAAGAAAAGAAAAAGAGAAAGAAGAAAAGTAAAGGGAAAAGAAAAAGAAAAATCCCAGGAAACATGGACAGAGACAGACACAGACAGACAGACAGATAGACACACACACACACACACACTCCCCTTCCAATGAACTTCCAATAAAATTTTCCTCCTAAAAATATCATCTATAAAGTTAGACGGTCAGTTTATGTTTTGGAAAGTCAGAGTTTACTCCTTTCATATATACTAAATTCTATGATTTCAAATAGTAAGGAGATGTTGAACATAATTCCAAATTTAATGGTTGTTTAAAGTTATGAAAACCCAAAGGAATACTAAATTTAAAAAATTTAACAATGACTAACTTCACAAGATTCTGAAATGCAAAGCCATCTGTCCATTGTTCAGTAAATGAAGCGCCATGTCTAACTGTTGTAAAGTGCCCAAGGCGCAATCTATCTTGCATACTCTTCTCTCTGCTTGACAGTTTTTCTTGCGTACTCTGAAAAAAAAAAAAAGAGAAAAAAAACCTATTATTCAGTTTTATTCATTTAGATTTTAAAAGCATACAGGGCAAAAGGGGCTATGAAGAAGAAAATTTAGTGAATCTGAATTTACCTTTTCAACAAGAAGTTTCTTGCTCATTGATATGCACTTATTTAATCGTTCTTTGTACTTTTCAAGTAATTTTTGTTGATCATCTATTTGCCGTCTAAGATCACAGTTAGCCTACAATATAAGTCAAAATGTAAAATATCCAGAATTTGTGATATTAAAAGCTTAGAATTTTTTAAATGTTTTGAATAAACTGTAGAGATAAGATTGTTAAGATTAAATATTTGAGTATTTTTAAAAGTTTATTCTTAAAAAGTCTACTTACCAAAGGATAACTCTATTAACCATTAATTGTAGTGGAAAGTACATGATATTTGTATACATATTATAGACATTCGAATTCATACTCTAAGGTTAGTGGCTACATAAGTTATTTGAATTTCAGTTTTCTTATTTTTCAATAGGGGAAACATAAGAATAAATGGAATTTTCTTTAATCTCTTATAACTAGTAAAACATTTTCTCTACTAACTTATGGATGACATTGTAAGTTGCCTATCCAATAAGTATTCCCACACCATTCTTCAATTCACTATATTGGCACCATATGCTCAGAGAACAGAACTCTCTCTAATTTCAGGTAAGTGTAGTCAGTCTAGTATAATGGAAACAGAATTTCCTGGAGGGCTTGCTGAAACAACCCCCTAAAACCCCCAGAGTTCTGAGACAGCAGGTCTTGGGAAGGGCCTGACAATTTCCACTTCTAACAAGTTCTCTGGCAATGCTTTACCAGATGTGGTATGGGTATCACACTTTGAGAACCACCCACAGATCTAGACCAATCATGGTCCAAGCCAAAAGACAATGACATACGTATTATCTTGAAAATGTTAGGAGAAAATAACTCAGCCTAAAATGATGTACTCAGTAGAATTATTTTTCAAGCAACACAAAATGGAATTTATTGCAAACAGATCTTTATTGTTAGATGCAATTCAAATAAAATCCCAATAAATTGTGTGTGTGTGTTGGGGAAGGGATTATCTCAGCAAGCCCTCTGGGGAGTCATAATGTATGTTTGACACAAAAAAACTGACTCTAAAATTTTTCTAAGATTTCAAAGTGTCAAAAGTAGCCAAAAGGAAGGACAAGAAATTATTAAACCATATGTCAAGATTTTCTTGGTGTTCTTTGTTTGTTTTGGTGGGGGTTGTTTGTTTCTTGAGACAGGGTCTTGCTGTATCATGCCGTCTGGCTTAAACTCTGATCCTCCTGTCCCTACCAGCCAAGTGCTAGGATCACAGGTGTGTGCCAACACACCCCGCATATATTTAGGTTTCATATATAAAGCCCAAACCCCTTCTTGCTTAATAATGGAAATTGGATGTTTTATTCTGGATTGATATGCAGAGCTAAAAGTTGATGTTTCCTGGCTTCACATGCAGTTAAGGATATTCTAGAAGGCTGCATACAGAACTGAGGTTTTTTGTTCTTCCTCTCCTCTTCCTGTTTTCTGCTTAGAATACAGATATCATAACTGTGATTCAAATAGTTACTCTGGGCCTTGATGTGACCTTTAAGATGGAAGGCATGCACTAAGGATGAGGATGCAGAATAACTGAAGGAGCCAAAATCCTATAGAATACTGTGGAGCAACCAAACCCAGACTGTTCACCTCAGTTTTTTCAAAAAATACACTTCTATCTCATTTAAAGCACTGTTGTTTATATTCTATTACTAACAAAGACAACTGCCAAATGACTTAAAAAAAAAAGATGGACTGAAGGTGTGGCTCAAGCAATAGAGCACGTACTTTCCAATTTTGAAGCCCCAAGTTCAAACCCCAGTCCTACACACACATACACACACACAAAAAAAAACAGATGATACAGTATCAGTGTAGTGATACACAAAACAAAACAATGGAACACAATACAGATCTAAATGCAAATGCAAACAAGACTTTATGATGAACTCACAATATAAAAGAGGACTAAACTAAATTGGACAACTGGCTATCCATATAGTAAGAAGTCATACTATACTCAAAACCAGTTCCAGACTATAAACCTTTTAAAAGAAAGTACAGAAGAGTATCTTTAGAATCTTAGATTTAATTATGTATATGAGTATATGTGTTTGTTTGTGAGTGTGTGTGTGTGTATATATATATATAATTACTGGGACCTGAACTCAGGTCCTTCACCTTGAGCCACGCCACAGCCCTGTTTTTGTGAAGGGTTTTTTCAAGATAGGGTCTCGTAAACTATTGGCCCAGGCTGGCTTCAAACTGCGATCCTCCTGATCTCTGCCTCCTCAACAGCTAAGATTACAGGTGTGAGCCACCAGTGCCCAGATACAGAGGAGATTTAGACTAAGGATTCTTTTTTTTTTTTTTTTTTTTGGTGGTGGCACTGGAGTTTGAACTCAGGGCCTCATGCTTGCTAGGCAGGCACTCTTATCACTTGAGCCAATCTACAAGCCTTTATTTGTGTGTATCTTTGATAATAATTTAGAATAGGCGAAACTAACTATAAAAACTTTAGCAATACAAAAATTTTAGTAATACAAAAATGAAAATACATTTAATTATCAAAAGACAGCAGCGGTAATAAAAAGACAACTCACAAAGTGGAAGAAAATCAATACATGTGACCAACAGAAAACTGGTATCACTAAAAATCAAACAACCCCATAAGAAAAAGGGAAAAAAAAACCCATAGTCAGTTACTTCACAGAAGAAACACAAATAGTTAATAAATATTTTTAAAGATGTTCTAAATCCATTAGGTAAACTGGGAGTGCATAACAAAACTATTAGATACCACGTTACACCCATCAGATAAACCAGAAAAAAAAAAAAAGGCAAGTATAATGAACAAGTTTCTTTCTGGAGCACTACTATTGGAAGTATAAATTGATACAACCATTTCTGGGAAAACGTGGTGTTATAAAGGAGAAAACGCGGATGGTGCTGTGCATAAATCATGGTATATTAATATAGCAACGTCTTACCATGTAACAGTGAAATGAACCAAATATAGTGTTATAGTTTGACATTTTTATTACTCAAAGGCTTGGTTGTTAGCTGATGGGCATTTGAGAAGTGACTGGATAATGAGGGCTCTAACTTCATCAGTGGATTAACCCACTGATGAACTGATAGCTGAATGAACTATTAGAAGGTGGGGCCTGGCTGGAGTAGGTCAATGGGGGTATGCCTTTGAAGATCCTTTGAAGGATATATCCTGTCCCTGACCCCTTCCTGACTCTCTGTGTTCTTCCAGGTTGCCATAATGTGAGCAACTCTGTTCTACATCATGCCCTTCTACCATGATGTACTTCCTCAGCACAGGCCCAGAAACATAGAGCTAAGTGATCATGGACTGAAATCTCTGAGACTTGAGCCAAAATAAATCTTTTCTCTTTTAAGTTGATTCACTCAAGTATTTTGTCACAGTGACAAAGAGCTTACTAACACACACAGTTCTACTCATCAATATGGATGCCTCTCCCACATACAATGTTCAGTAAAACAAACAGAGTAAAAGGATCCATACAGGATCATTGCACCTAAATAAAATGTAAAAACAAACTGCAATAACATACTGGATACTGTACAACCATAAAGAAACACAAAGCCTGATAAATATAAATATAAAATTTAAAGTAGTGAACATCAAAACTCCTCAGGGTAGAGTTCAGGCATTAAGTCAGTTCCACTGTTTCCATTTGGCGATTTAATGAGCAGCAAGGGATAAGAAATACTGCTTTATAACTTACTCACATTTTAAGCATACTTTTGGATATATTTTAAAAAATAATTGTCTCTTAAAAATTTTATGGAACTATGGCAGTGATTTTGCCCTGTATGGTATTAGACATAAGACATACAACAAGGTGAATTAAGTTTAATATCAAAAGGATATCTATCTGATGGATAGTTGATCATATAAAAACAAATTTTATAAACTTCCTTTTATTTCTCCAACTATTTCTCAATTCATACTTAAGAGTTAAGGTATTTTTCATGTATTTTATTCTCATTTTTTATGTTTGGTGGTACTAGGATTTGAATTCAGGGGCTTTGTGCTTGCTAGGCAGGCATACTAGCACTTGAGCCTGACTCCCAGCCCTTTTTTGTTTCAATTATTCTTGAAAAGGGTCTCACATTTTTGCCCAAAGTGATTCTCCTACTTATGCCACCTGGGTAGCTAGGATCATAGGCTAGTCTCACCATGCTTGTACAGCTTACTTATTGAAAGTCGCACTAACTTTTGTGGCCAGGCTGGACTCAAATCACAATTCTTCTGATCTCTGTCACCCAAGTAGTTGAGATAACAGGCATGAACCAATGCACCTAGTCCAGTACTTTCACTTTAAAGTTGGTATCTTCAATCATGTCCTTATTCTAACTAGAAAAAGCTTATTTTTTTGAGCTACAGAATACTAACATAATTAGTATTTTCTCAACAGTTTCACTGTTGCCAAACGTTACTCAATTTTTCCCCCTCCATGACTTATTACTTACCCTGAGCAAATCATCTATACGACCTTCCTTCTTTTCCAGGTCCTGGTTTTTATTACTTTCTAATGCTGCTAATTTCAGCATTGTGAGATCAGTCTAAATGAAAGAAAGCTATTTTATTATCTCTATTATATATATGTGTGTGAGTGTGTGTGTGCGCGCGCACCTGTGTATATATATTATATAGTTGCATACAAACATAAAACTAGATTTTACCAAAATTCTAAAAGTAAATAAAACTACAAGTTTGTATGTGCAGGGTATCCCAAAAAGTCCTAGTACAGGTATTTTGGCAGCACTGGGAATTTTTTTTTAACTCGGGGTCTCACGCTTTATAGACAGGTACTCCACCACTTGAGCCACTCCACCAGTTGTGCACACGCGTGTGCACGTGTGTGTGTGTGTGTGTGTGTGTGTGTGTTGGGTATTTTTGAGATAGGGTCTCACAAACATGAACTATCTGCCCAGGCTGGCTGTCTTTCTGATCTCTGCCTCCCAAGTAGCTAGGATTATAGGCATGTGCTACCAGCTCCTCACCTAGTGTAGTTTAAAATTTTAATGACTTCAGAAGCATAAATGCTATTCATTTTTCACAATATTGATATTCCTTAAAACAATATATCCACTGCTTTGTGCTATCTACTGCTCTAGTTGATTCTTCAATTTTGAAAAGTTATTTACAAAATTATTCTTTAAATGGTCAGGTAAAAATTATATTTTATTTATAGCAGACATCACCTTTCATGTAGGTATCCATCATGGGATGGCTAAATCGCAAAATTTAACACATACTTATTTTTTTGTGATGAGAACACTTATAAAAGTCTATTGTTTTGCTAATATTCACATACACAAGGTATTATTATTAACTACATTCACCATGATGTATAACAGATACCTTGAAGTCCCTCCTAAATGAAGTACTGTTTCCTTTGACCAGCATCTTAATACAGTAAAACCTTTTTTGAGCTGCTTAGAAACTAAAAGGAATATACTATACTTGTTATCCTTGGGAGTATCCAAAGAAAGAAGTGTTGATGCATGCACAATGGTTTGAATATAACCCACAAAGAAAGTCTAATGGAAACTTATTTATTAAGTTAGCTTTCTTTATGTTTAATTTTACTTTATTATTATGCCTACAGACAACTTATTTAATACAAAGATGGTCACAGGTTTCCTAGAAGTCATAGAAAAAATTAATTATTTCTGGAGGCCTTGTCTTGAACTCCAGTACTGCTCCCTCCCTCCCAAAAAGAAAAAAAATTATTATTTACCTGAGTAATTTTAAAGGATAACTGCTTTGGTTGTACAACAGGGTGGTCCCCAAAAGCTAATGCAGTAGGAGAAGGGCTATTCGGTCGAACCTTTAAAAAAAAAAAAAAAAAGTTAAAATTTCTACCTTGGCAATAATTGTTTAACATTTCAAAAGAAGTATTCTCTTCTTTTTCTGTTTTCCCTTTGGCAGTACTGGGGTCTGGGCAAGCACTCTGTCCCTTGAATTACACCCCCAGCCCTTCTGAAGAAGATTTTTATCTTCTAATACCTGACTTAAAACTTGTTGTCTGATGTTTGTTTCTGTTTGAGACAGGGTCTCCTTTACGCAGTCCAGGTTGCCCTGGAACTCACAATCTTCCTGCCACAGACTTCCAAGTACTATGACTACAGGTGTGCACCACCATTCTTGGCTTTTTAAAAAAACTTTTGATTATTTACTTTTTCAACAGGTTTCACCACAACCACCACCCCCACCCCCACCCTAATCCCCCTCCGGTACTGAGGTTTGAACTCAGGGTCTCATACTTGCTAGATAGACCCTCTACTACTTGAGCCACTCCGCCAGCCCTTTTTGTGTTAGGTATTTTCAAGATAGAGTCTTGTGAGCTATTTTCCTGGGGCTGGCTTCAAACCACCATCCTTCTGATCTCTGCCTCCTGAGTATCTAAGATTATAGGCATGAGTCACTGGCACCTGGCTTTAACAAGCATTCTTTTTTTTTTTTTTTTTGGTGGAGATACTGGGGCTTGAACTCAGAGCCTCACACTTGCTAGGCTTGCTAAGTAAGCGCTCTGAGCCACTCTACCAGCTCAACAAGCATTCCTGAGTACCTCCTACATAAGGCCCAGTAAGAGCTACAACCATAAATTCCTTGACCTCAAGGTGCTTACATTCAAGTGCCATAAAATCAGTCTTAATGCTTTCATATAGTTAACCAAAGTAAGGCCAAATAAATATTCTGAAACGAAAGTATTAAAAACCTGATTATAATGGTTCAAAAAGGAAAAACAAAACATCTTAATACAGAATTCTTAGTATTACAGATAATAACACATGCTCAAAGTAGTTTGAAATCAACCTATTACTGAGTTTTATGGGTTTATCTCCTCAGTAGCTTAAAAACATTGAAAGCAGCGGATCATAACACTGTATCAATGCAACCATTATAACTCGTTTCTTTAAAAGCTACTGTTAAGTCTAGTTTTAAAACAAATCCAAATTTATATAGAAGCTCATAATAGAAATAAATTATAATAAATAATTATAAATTATAAATAATTATTCAATGCACATAACCTCTTAGACTGTGCATGAAAACATGAAACAAAAACTTACAGATGAGGAAGGAGTGGAATGTGAATGTGAGTTTTGAGGAGAACGAATTGCAGGAGGTATGCCTCTTACTGGACTTGAGCCATTTCCACCTTGGTACTAAGAAAAAGAAAAAGGCCAGATTAGATTGTTATTTTAGATAAAGCATTAGGAAATTAAATATATATTACTTTACTTGTACTGCTGGAGATCAAACCTAGGGCCTCAAGTATGCCAGGCAAGAATTCTACAACTGACCTACATTTCCAGCACTAAATATATCTTATTTTAAACCAGACCAGGTAGTCATTTAAATGGGTCAGAAAAGGTAAAACTAAGGTCACTTATAGCCAAGTTCTAATTAATGAGAGGCTGCTAATCATGAGAACATGTTTCAGTTTTCCTCCAAGGAGCTGCACTTCTCTCTTATACATGTTTCCTGAACCAATATAGTCAGTAATTCTAAGAAGTTTTAAAATACTTACATGTGGACTTTAGTGAACATAATTAACTACCTTAAAACAGAATCATCATTTACAAGATCTGTTAGATATCCAAGTGTTCAGGGAACTATTTTAAAAAAAAAAAAAAACCCAACTCTTTGTAATAAAGTTTCTGATTTAGTTGCACAAAAAGAAAAGCCAACTAATCTGTTCCATAGCTCTTTTCTCATTTTTCTATACCACGGTTAGAAGAAAACAATATGTTCCTACTGACTTCCTCTAGGGCAATTTATTATCTATGTCATATCTTTAATTGGTCACTTAATTTTGACATGAACAATAGAGATAAGGGACTTGTTAGTGTGTTCATTAAAGTACCTGCAACCTAAGAATTTTGCCTCACTTATTTTATCTACAGTGCCTAGCACAATGCCCAGCATACAGCAGTCATTCAAGACACGTTTGTTTATTTGGTCAATCCTACATTTAGCAATTAGTGATATTAACACTGAATGGCTAAACACAACTAAAGAGCAAAAGTTTTACCTCAGATCATGTAAATTCAAAAAAAGCAATGAAGAATTATTTTTTAAAATTCAGCTGTTCCCTTAATCAGCCAATTCTGCTGTCACTCTCAGAAAGTAAATATAAACATTTTTCACCTGAATAGTTAACATTTCTTTAAATTATCACATTAATGTTTCCAGATGTAAAATTGGTAGCCAAAAGTGTTTCTATGTAGATAGAAGTAAGGAAGTATTCCAGATTGAGTAACACTCTAAATGTATCTTTTTATTTTTTTTTTCAGGGACTCTTAGATTCACGTCTCTATCAACTATTTAATGTCTACCTATATGGCTCTATGTTGTTGCCCTATCATAAAACCTGTATTGATACTACACAGCTGGTAGACTTTGTTCTTCCCTTCAGAGTCTGCTGTAAGTTAGGCTACTTTGTGTCTCTGATCCTCAGTTTCATTATTTGTGAGAAAGAAACACCAATACTTACTCTGTCTATTATATGGATTGTTATAAGAAAGTATGTTGAGAAGGTACCTTGAAAATTATGATGTATGATTATCAATGTAAAAGTGTATTTTAATGTTCCTAGGAGGAAATAATATCACATAGTACTAAAAGTAAAGCTCTGCTCAAAAGCTGACTCTGAGCTTTAAAGAAACTATTTTCAACTTACTATGGAATTATATTGAATTAAGAACTGGAAATAATTCTCAAACTTACCTCAAAATAGTCGCTAATTTTGTGGCCACGTCCCCCAATACTTTTTCCTAAAATATAAACGTGAAAAGTTGTGTAGATTTAAAAGTCAGTCATAATTATCTATCACATATTACATCAGAAAGAGAATGTGCCCCATTTAATTTCCTTAATTTACATAAAAATCATCTATTAAATGATCTATTAAAGAATCTCCTGGGTGTTATGTCTTGTTTTGTTGGTGAGGAAGCTGGAGATTAAACCCAGGGTCTCACCCATGCTAAGCACAAGCTCTACTATGGGGCTATACTCCTCCAAAAGGGATCTGGTTTAAAAACATTAATACTGCTTAATGTCTACTAATTTCAGAAAGGTAAGTAAATGTATTAAGAAAGAAAAAACAAGTTGCAACTGTATAACTGACAAACTAATTCATACTTGGTAATAAAAAGCAGTTTTGGTTCATATAAACCAAAACATAACCCCTGTTAAGCTGATAACATGCTTATAAATATTATTTTATAAAAGGTGTTTTGATTTTTAAAAAGGCATCTGCAAATTAGACTTTAAATACTTTTAAGAATACTGAAAAAGTAAACCAAGTTGTTACAGATCACACTGTCTTTTAAGTGTTTTGCTCTATAATGGGAGTCTTCATCAGTTTTACAAACACAGCATTAAGAACTTGACAAGAAAGACTGTTCACAGAAGTTTTGGGGAGGTCAAGGCATCCACTGATTTTGAACTATGTAGAATACATGATTTCAACAGAAAAACTATGAAAACAGAGTCAAAAGCTTTGCATAATATAAAACATATATCTTATCAATGTATTAATGATTTATAGCCATGCATTCACTTATTTCATTCAACAAATATTTCTTAAGTGGTTATTACTGAGATGAATGAAGTTCAGTAACCTTAAATTCCTTCTTGGAACAAGGTAGAATTCTTTTAAAAAAAACAAGCAAGTACTAAGAAGTATAAATGTTATCTACGAATTTTGAGTAACAGTTTGGTACCAATTTATTTAGAGCTCAGACAGGACTAGAGAAATTTTATAACAAAGAAACTTCCTTTCTATCTACAGTAATTTCCTCAGGAAATTACCTATTAGTATGAAGACAGATATTTTTGGTTACCTACCAAAATGCAATTTCTCCAACTCTTTCCCCTTAACTGAGCCCAAATTTTCTGCTGTTACACCCCTCCACCTACATATAATTTCAGGGAAAGCTGGTTCCCTATACATCTTGCACTCCCAGTTCTTCTTTCCCTCCTTACCAGAAATCCAATTCTGATCAGGTATCACAGCTTCTCCACATAGCCCGTACTTTTCATTTAAGGGGAAAGCATTTTAAGGGGAACATTTAAGACCATTTTCAGTTTCAGAAATGGGCTTGATTTATCCAAGGGCAATAGTACTTTGTTGGACATTACTGGTTTTAGAATGGAAACATGGCCTAGTCTAGTCAATAAGATGTTAAGGGAGGTCTGTTTGCTCTGAACTTGAAAAAGCTCACTCTAAAAAAAAAAAGTATGTATGTGTGGGGATTGATATAGTAAGACAGCCTCTCCCTAAAGTGAATATTGAGTGAGGAAGCTAAAATAAGTAAATCCAATTTAGGCAAACCACAAAGAAAAAAACTTGGGTTCTTAAAGACAGGTTGGCTCAACCAACCTAGTAGCACCTACTTTGAGGGCTTGCTTTTGAGTTTTTCTTAACTTTCTATTGAAATAATTATAATTAATCTAACTTTATCATAAGTAAAGTTATGAGTCTACTGCACTAAGAATAAAAAGGTCAGTGCAAAATGAGATACAACATACTGTACACGTACAGAAAAGGTACAATACACCTAGAAATTAAGTGTTTAAGTCCCTTCCTCCCACAAAAGCAGTTGCTACAAATACATTCTTTGATTCCAACTGGTAAGCCATGGACTCATATACCTAGATCTTGCAGCTGAAAACTGGTTCCAAAACATGTAATTTGATATATAAAAAAAAATTATGTAAGATTTAAGAGCCTAATCTATTGTATTTCATTTTGAGTGCCCAAATTAAAAGATAGTACTATTTTCTTGTCCATTGTAAGAGACTGTGTAGTCTGATGAAAGTTACTTTCCTAGCTCGTATTATAAGAGGTTAATACAAGAAAGGATGAAAAAAGGTTATGAAGAAAAACTGATGCTTTCATTCGGGTCTAATTATTTTTATACTTTTTTTTTTTTTTTGGTCTTTTGTCAGTACTAGAGTTTGAACTCAGCATCTTATGCTTGGTAGTTAGGCACTTAACCACTTAAAGCCACGCTTCCCAGCCCTTTTTTGCTTTAGTTATTTTTCTGATGTGATCCCATGTTTTTGCCCAGGTCTGGCCTCGGTCCTCAGATCCTCCCACATATGCCTTCTAAATAGGTGGAATTACAGAAGCATTCTACCATACCCATCTATAGCTTTTTTAAAAAAAATAAGGAAGGAGTAAGTTTGGGAACATGTTTTACTATGAGATTTAAAGTTTTTATTTAAAAACAGAAGTCATTTGAGTATCATAATTCATATATATACAGAAAAATGAAAGGTGATAAGGAAATGCTTGTTTGATTTGGACATACTTGGTTTTCTAGGACTCAAATAAGGAAAATGTCAAAAAGCCTAAAAACACTAACCATAAGCCCACTACTTATGATATAAAAAGACTGCAGTTTCAAATTATTATTTCTGTACAAAGTACAGTCCTGAGCTAATATAATGGCAAGTTACATAGTAACTATAGAATATATAAAAACATGACATTACTTAACAATCAAAATTTTAAATTGATTAAAAATAATAATTAATTGTAAATGCTTCGTGGTCTCTGAAGGAAGATGATGGTATGCTTACCCTGACTACTTTCATTCTGGTTTTCTGCTTTTCTTTTTCTTCCCCTGGATGATTCAGATTGTTTCTTCTCTGGTGTCTATAGAAAGTAAATTTTAACACAATTTTAAAATACAGTTTTAACATGTAAAATTATTATGTCAATATAAAAAAGACATTTCTACTTTCAAGGCCAATTAGTGTTCAACAGTACTCATGGGATGTAAATGTAGTTACTGACATACAACTTAAGAAATAAGACTTCTTATTCTGTAAAATTTTTTAACATTTCAACTATAGTAGTAAACCTTGTACATATTACCTAAAATTCACACTTTTAAAATTTGACTTTAGATACATGAGAATAATTGAATAGGACAAAAAATTTTTTTTAATTGAAAATTCACCTTAAGTTCTTCTCATTAGTTTTCTACTAATACATATTTATACATATTTAAAATGGTAAACTTGGGGGGTAAAGGGGGTAAACAAAAACTGATATATTCAATCTTCTAAAAAGGACCATTCATCTAAATGCCTGGCAACTATTATCCAAAAATTATAGCAAATTCTTGGCTTATATCTTCATTCAGGACCCAGCAAAGTACAATCTATGCATGAACTCTTTTTGTACAGCCCGTGATCTGAGCATAGCTTTTACTTACTGAATTTTATTTATTTACTTATTTAGTTTTGGCAGTGCTGAAGATCAAATCCAGGGCCTTGCACACACTAGGTACACTTTACTGCTGAGCTACAGCCACAGCTCAACTTTTATTGTTTTTGCTTGCTTGTTTTTGAGACATAGTCTGACAATGCAGCCCAGGCTGCTCAAACTTTTAGTCTTTCTGCCTCAGCCTTCTGAGTGCTGGGATTCTAGGCACGTATCACCATACCAGGCCTAACTTTTACATTTTTAAGTGATCACATTTATAAAGACTCAAACCACGAATATTTTATGATATGCAAATTCTAAGAAGTTCAAATTTCAGCATCCATAATAAAGTTTTATTGGAACACAGCCACACTTTTCATTTATTTATTTTGTACAGTTGTTTTTACATTACAATAGCCGAGTTCAGTAACTAGCTGCAACAGAGATGACATGCTATAAAAGTCTAAAATTATCTGGCCCTTTACAGAAAGTATGGAGACCCCTGATCTACATGGTGGTTCTCCTTCCAAATTATAGGCTTGTTCTTTGAACATATAGCCAAGTATTTTCACTCGGCTAACACAAGTAATTGTTGTGGAGCCTGACAAACTGTTCAGTTGAGTCAAAAATTAAAGGCAAGAGCAAAAGCACAAGGAAATGGCTCCAGGCCCTTGAATTCTAAAAGCCTGGTAAATAGCTCTGGTGCCAGAATAATTCCTGAACTTAATAGGAGCTCAAGGAATATCTGAATGAAAAACTGAATCACATTAGATAACTTCAAAATCTTTTAAGGCAGGTGGTCAAACAAGGAAAAAATTAATCTATACAGTCCTATCTGAATAGTCCTATGATTAGCATAACAATAAGACACAACCTAATTCTTATTAAGTATATATTGCTTCTCTAAGCATCCTGGGAGTTTTAAGTTCTTTCATGTCCATTCTACTAGAATACAATCAAGATAATACAATCAGAGAATTTGTACTGAATTCTTTAAAGAGAAGCATTATACCTTCTTCCCATCTCACCCTCCAAACCCCTGCCAGGCACGTAGTTATTACTCAGCAAATACAAGGATGAATATTAAACAACCTACTCAAGGTCAACACTATTACTATTAACCAGGATTCAATAATTTTTGTGCAACTCTAAGGCCTAAATATTCTTGACATGCTATATGCCCTATATATCAATAACTTAACTAAATGAATCAACTATACAAAGATATTTCAAAATGTTACTTGTAACAAAAATTCAACAAGTCCAATAAGTTGCCTATACAGTTTCACTTCACAAACCAGAGATTTTTACGGAACTCTAACCTGTTAATCTACTTTGGTCGGTAAGACTGATGTACCCGAAATTTAGAGTGAATTTTCATTAAGTGAGTTTACTGTCGAAATTATCAAACTCAAACAATAAACAATCTTCTGTTTCCCAGAAATAAAAGAGTCACCAAATTAAAAAATGACAAGTTAACAATTTTGTGAAGAACCCTAAATCTATCTTAAAACAAAAGAAGCTCCCTAAATAGTAATTTTTTTAATTTGTGTTTAAAAATATGTAACTTAAGGTCAAAAAAACCCATGATTTTTCAGAGTAAGTTAATGTTTTACCTTTTTTTTTGTTTTGGAGGTACTGGAAATTGAATCCAGAGCCTTGTACTTGCTAACCAAGTACTCCACCACTTGGGCTATGCCCTAATCCTTTTATTTTCATGTTTTTGAGACAGGGTCTTGCTAACTGTGTCCAGGCTAGTCTCAAATTTTCCACCCTCCTGTCTCTAACTTCCAACTAGCTGGAATTACAAATATGCACTACCCACAACCAGCTGTTATACTAATTATTAAGCATGGCAGGATCCTATTTAAATTCTATCTTAATTTTGATAGCTGCTTTTGAATAAACAAAAATCCCAACACATTTTAGTTACACTGAAATCGGCACTGTTGAGTTAGAAAACTAAAGAAAGTATAATGTTCTAAATGTTTCCATATAGTTTTGTAGCGTATAACCCAAGGAATGCTGCTTCGATGATAGGTTGACAAGGCTGCATTCCAAATGGGGGCTAAGGGGATGTTGGGGTATTTCACCAGGATAAAAAAGTTATTCTAAAATTCTTCAGAATCATTAAAAGGCTAATGCTCTATCTCTAAAAGAAGGGTGAGGTTTGAAGACTCAGTATTACATACAAATTCTCAAATTTATTTCACATAACATTCATTAAATACTTCATGGACATATATTTTAGAATATTTAAGAAGGTTACTGGTTTTTTTTTTTTTTTTAAAGACATTAGAGGTTACTTAGTAAAAGCTTTTTTTTCTCCAAGGCAAAATGTACCACTATGAAGAAGTGGAACATTAAGAAAAAGCATTATGATTACAGTAAAGAAATAATAACTCTTACCTCCTTCAACTTCTTTAAAAGAACTTGAGGAAGGATAAGAAAAAAGTAAGACGAGACTAAAATTAGTTTTAAGACTGTAATGTACAAAAAGTTGTAGGTAGGTAATAAAAAAAAACTGCACACACACAAAAAAAGGGAAACTTAGGTATACTTAAATTAGCCTATAAAGTGAATGCCTCCACTATATGCAGACCTTCTGTCCCTTCCCATGGACATTATCTTACTCTGTTGCTGACCTTTCACTTTCACTTTGTTCTTACCTTACAGACCATCTATATGGATACACTTGGTCCTAAAACACCAAGTCCAAAGTGGGTTTGTGAAGAAACAGACCAGTAATCAAATTCTGGGTTCATTATTTAGTGTAATCACTAACATGTTATTTAACCCAAGAATCAATTTTTTATTAGTTTAAGTAGGACTTAAATAAGAAACACACATAAAATACAACATCTGCAATATAACAATACTCAATAACATGCCAGTAAGCACCCAATCTTTTCTCTTATGTGAATGGCTATATCCTACTATCACTCCAAATATACTTCACTTTATGTTTTAAAAGTTCACTTATATATTATTTGTAAAGGGATTAGTTGGCAACTTCTGCCCAAAAAGCTTACCAATAACTTGTGAAGGCTTACAAAACAGGTAATATTTTCTCCTTAAGGTCGTACTTGACTGTATTCTAGACTACAAGCCATAGAACCTGCAGTCTAGGCAAACCACCACCCTTAGGCAAATATGCATTGAATAGTTAGCTCTGAACTTAAACAATCTGAGCAACAATATTTTTGTTTATATTACATATAAATAAAACAGTAAGAAAAACCCTCAATGAACCCCAATGTTGCCAATTCTGCTGAGCCACTCATATGTACATCAACTTATTTGGATATTTCTTTAACTTGGGTGGGAGGAAATATGCAGAAACTCATTAAGTATTTAATCTTTAAGGTGACTATCAATGACAAAAAGTTCAGAATAATAGCTGTGATTTTCAAACTCTGTGAATCCAGAGGCACCTTAAGGGAGAAGAGGTTGTGCTCTATACGTTATTAAAGGGGAGACAGAATGGAAGGAAGAAGTTGATGGTTGTACTAAGGTTCTATCTAGTCTAGCAAGACACATACTATGCCACTTCCACTTCTGTTCTTGTAAACAAAGCATCACTTATTTTAATATACTGAGATTCTATGTAAGATTTCCTTTGAAGAAACTTTTAAAAGGGTATGACTTTTAAAAGGTTTGAAGAAGTACTCATCACAGCCAATAACTTCCCTGAAGAAATCCAAAGGCCATTAATAACACCACCCATATATTTATATAAGGCATAAAATGTGAATGTACCAAATATTTTCTACAGAACCTTCAAGTTTATTTACTGTTCTTGCTAATAATGTTATTGATTTCTTCTTTTGTATTTTTTTCTCAACTAACCCACTATAATTGATCATAATAAGGAAGAATTAATAGGGAAGGCAAAATAGAAGGATTTGGCTTTAAAATGAAGATAGAAAGAATACAATAATTATAAAAGGCCAAAGAATTCTAACACACAGTGGAACAGTGGTTAGGAGAAAATGAAGAGAAACTAGTACTCTTAAATCAATTTGGCTCTGTAAATTCCAGATTTGTAATCATACCAAAACCACAGTGACTTCTGGCATTTAAACATTCCAGGACATCAGTGTGAAGTTATACAGTATTTTCTAGTGGTTAAAAGTTTGTTCAAAACAAAAGCAAAGACAAATTGAAAGCACACAAGAGGTGATACACTTAAGCTGCAATTTCATTTGAAACTTACATTAATGATTATTAAACAAAGTTTTATAGCTAATCATGTAATTTCTTGGTTTATGTAAAATAAATACATGTGTTTTTACCAAAGATAAGAAAATAAGAGTAAGGTATGGTGGCTGATCCCTGTAATCCTAATTACTCAGGAGGTAAGAGATCAAGGAAGATAGTAGTTGGAGGACAACCCAGGCCAAAAATTTGAGACCTTCCCCCCCCACCTCCCGCCATCTTAACC